CCATAACGTAGTGAACAAGCTTTGAGGTTGATATTCGATCATTTTGGTAAGTAATGTCATCGTGAATGCGACAATGAGCGATGTAGGCTGGCAATGAGATAGTAGGCAAAAAATGAGAGTCACTTGTGATCCTGTCGTCCTGCCCTGGCTTGATGTTGCTCAAGATTTGGAACGTCTCTGCCAAGGATTTGAGCGGAAGTATTCACGTCTTACGCGCTGCTTCCGAGAAAGCGTGTGTTTACGGGTCGTTGGTCCACATTGCCTACTCGTCAGAACAATATCCTGGGGATCCCAGCCTCCAGAAATCCACTCAGTTCATTGGCAGTGGGAATCCCGGTTTCACGGGGATCTGACGGATATGCCGGCTCCCCTGGACTTGAGCCCCGCTCGATTATGTTCCAAGGCGGGCAAACGGTGAGCCGCCCATGGGGAAGATCTCGAGCTTGGAGTCAGTTGTACTCTGTACTCGTCAGAGTCGGGCTTTTCGGTGCAGTGAATTACAGTTCGCACCGCTTTCGTGCTACCTAACTACTCCTATTGACTTCCAAGCTGCTCTGGAATGCGAGAAATGTGACCACTGACCCTTGTAACTACCTGTACGCTACAAGGCATGTCTTCCCTACCGTCTACAGGCGACATTGCGCCCGTCGAAGTACATGCTTTGGCTACCGGTATACTACACCATCCTGATCAATGGCTTTTCGAGGATGGCGATGAGGATATCATGAGAGCTCGTCACTCTTATCCTGACTTCAGTTTCTTAATCCGCCATCACTCAGGCAACAATGTGCTTTTCGACCTTGGTCTGACAAAGGTATGAAGAGCTGGACCTGCTTTCAACTTCTCACCACTGCGCATGGCTGCAGCTTCACGTACACGCTGACCGAGAATCAGGACTTTGACCAAGTGCCTGAATTGATCAGAAGTTTGTTTCACGTCATTGAACCGGTAGTGGATAATGATGCTTCCGACATCCTCGCAACTGGCCCTGTGGCACCCTCAGACATCGATGCCGTCATATTCAGCCACCTGCACTTCGACCATATCGGCGACTGCACCAAGTTCCCAGACGCAAAGTTGGTCATAGGTCCTGGGTCCAAGGCTGCGAATGGCGAAGGGTGGCCTGTGAACCCGAAATCGCCCTTCTCCAGTTCTGTGGTTCAACACCCGAAGCTCCATGAGCTGAGCTTTGAGAACGAGAAATGGTCGCCAGTCGGGCCTTTTCCGCGGGCATTCGACTATTTTGGCGATGGTAGCTTCTACTTGATCGACACTCCCGGCCACATGAAGGGGCATATGGGCGCTCTCGCTCTCACAGGGCCGGGTGAGTGGGTTTTTATGGGGGGTGATTGCTGCCATCATCGCTCCATCTTGTTGCAAAGTCGCCCAATGAGCGTCTCATTTGGACCCATGGGACGATGCTTTCATAGTGAACCAAAGGTTGCAGGCGAAACCTTGAAGAAAATCCGGCATCTAGAGGAGACTGGTCAGGTATTTGTAGCTCTGGCGCACGACTCTTTTCTGGTCGGCCCTATGCCACAGTATCCTGAGAGTCTAAATGGATGGTCACACAGCGGGTGGGGGAAAGAGATAGAGAGCGTTCTACGTCAGAATCGATGCGATTGAGAACAGGACGAAAGCATCTGGAGTCGTTTACTCTACCTTATATCTATGACCTCTAAGCTATAGAAACCCTTCACTGAACAAACTTTGCCGTTGTCACTGTCAGTCATGCAGCCACCAAATGAGTTGGAATGACACTGTGCTGATCAACTTTCACTCTCTATGATCCTAGAGAAGACGGCATATATGTGAGTTGGCACTCTTTGCCATACATGCTCACTTCAGCCGTGATCATTTATCCTTCACTCAATTTACTCTCGTTCGGGCCATATCGTCCTCCCTTGATCGGGATCCGGCGAAGTATCTCATCGATTTTTTGTAAATCCTCCTCCACCAACTTTATATCCCTGCAATTCTCGGCGACCCATTCCGGCTTTTCTGCACCCGGGATAGGGATGATGATTCCATTGCCATTTCTCTGGCTTTGTGCTCGCACCCAGCCAATGGCAATCTGGGGTACAGTGCACTGCTTGTCTGAAGCCAACTTCTGGACTTCCTGCGTGAGTTGTTGATTGGCCTGGAAAGCATCCCCTTGAAATCTAGGGTACATCTTGAGATGCGCAGGGAGATCCTCCTCCTTCTCAGGGAGGTCAGTGGTCAATCCACCGCGGCTCAGGGGTGCGTATGCTATGATCGGGATGCCGAGCTCTGTACAAGTGGCGACGACACCATTGTAGAGGATATCAGGCGACCATAAGGACAATTCGACCTCGACCTGGGTGATTGTTTGGACCTTAGCCGCACGACGGATCGTTTCGGCTTTGACCTCACTGAGGCCGATGCCTTTGATCTTGCCTTCCTTGACCAGCAGCCCTAAGGCTCGCATCGTCTCTTCAATTGGAGTTTTGGGATCGACACGGGCACATTCGAAGATGTCCAGGCTCTTGGTGCCATCGAGGATCCGATTACATTCGTCGACAGATTTTCGAACCCCAGCCTCGCTGCCGTCAAAGGTTACTGTCGCTGCCTCCATCACGCGAGCACCCTTGATTGCGAGTGTCACCTTGGAAGCCTTCTCGGGATATTTGCGGAAATAGTCACGCAAGAGGTGCAGGCTGTTACGTTCCGAAGTGCCGTAGAACTGTCCTCCATTCCAGTATGTTGCACCATTTTCAATTGCAGCGTTCATCGCTGCGAATGCTTCTTCCTGGTCAACCGGGCTGATTGGTCTAGTCAGTCCCATGAGGCCGAATCCCACCGGACCGATCTGTTGACCGAGAAGTGTTGGCATCCTGGCGTTGTGGTCAAGTTATTGCTTCTTTCGAATTGCTGTCGGCAGTGAGGAAATTCGAAGCTATACAAATAGTCACATTTACCCACGGTTGGCACCAGCGCACCGACAGCCAGGAGGTTTGATAAGTCCGGAAGGGGCCTGGGATCAGCAACCAGTCACAAGATGCACGCGGGTATACCGGTAGGCATCTGGTCGGACCCCTCGAGCTAAGGTCAGCTGCACCGGCTGACGGCCTTTCCAGAATGATTGAACCGGGTCACAGCAATGCCATGATCCATCTTGACAAGCTTTTGGTGGAGACTCGAAGAACTCGAGAGACGAAAGCTGCCGTCTTTGCACAACATCCGCTTCGGTGATCTAGAGTATGCTCTCCAACTACACATCGCGATCACGCGCGACCCCAATGGACGGACAGTGTGGAGACATGGTACGGATATTACTACCGGCACTCGGTGTTAAGTGAGCTTGTCATCATATATTTTGTTCCTTAACGACCCATTTGCATGAGGCATGACAGCCTAGCTATTTATCTAATCCTTCCGTAAAGCCTAGAGGAGGATGTGTACTGCTTTGCGTTGTGTCATCTCCACCATTTCCTCGAAGCAGTCCTCCCTACCAATACCTGACTGCTTATACCCACCCCATGGCATTCCAAGGAAATGAGTAGCCGATGTATTGACCCACACGGTTGCAGCTTCGATACGTCTGATGGCATGCTGAGCGGTAGTCATGTTGGATGTGAAGACTGCACCGGTGAGACCATATTCGACCGAGTTTACTTGTTGGAAAACAGTCTCCTCATCCCTCCACTTCAAGACCGAAAGCACTGGTCCAAATATTTCCTCTTGTGCAATAGTCATACTTTGATCCACGTCGGCGAAGATGGTTGGAAGTACGAAATAGCCGTCTTTACAGTCATCAGTTGTCGGTGCCTCTCCTCCAGTAATGAGCTTAGCACCTTCTCTTTTGCCAATGTCGATATACCGGAGCACTCGATCTTGAGCGGCCTTGCTAACGAGCGAGCCCATGGTAGTCGCAGGGTTCAAGGGATTGCCAGGCTTGTAGCTCTGTTCCAGCTTTGACTTGACCAGTCCCAAAACCTTGTCATGAATATCGTCATGAAGGAATACTCGCGATGTCGACCCGCATGACTGGCCACACCAAGACCAGTTCATTCCTGCTACGATACCCTCGACTAGGCGGTCGATATCGGCGTCAGGATACGCAATAAGAGCATTCTTTCCTCCCAGCTCTAGAACTGATAGTTTTAGAGAGTCTGCAGCGGCTTTTTGGATTGCGCGACCTGTTGGTAAACTACCTATGAGCGTGATTTTTCGGACAATCGGGTGAGTTGCAAGCGTTTTGCCGCATTCGACGCCACCGGAGACCACGTTAAAGACACCAGGAGGGAAGATATCTCCAATGAGCTCCATCAGTCTTAAAGCAGACAATGGTGCTTGTTCGGGCGTCTTGATCACTAAGGTGTTTCCCATCGCCAGGGGAGGGCCCATCTTAGTTCCGGTAAACATCATGGGATGGTTTGAAGCCACAATTCTCGCGACCACTCCGAGGGGCTCCCGTACCGTGTAGTTGAAGGTCTTATCTCCGAGATTAGCCGTTTCGCCAGTAACAGCCGGGATCAAGCCTGCATAGTAATCGAGGTATTCGGCGGCAAAATGAGCGTCCGAAGCCATGATAGCTATAGGACTTCCAATGTTGGCGGCATCGAGGAGAGCCAATTCAACTGCGTGGTCACGAAATACCTGGGCCGCCTTCTTGAGTAGTTTTCCCCGTTGCAGAGGCGGCGTTGCTCGCCATGCTGGGAGTGCGGCTTGAGCAGCCTTCAAGGCAGCTTCAGTGTCTGCCGCACCTGCAAAAGCCACCTTGGTAATGACTTTTCCAGTGCCGGGATTTGACGTCTCGACGTATTGTCCGTCGATTGGTTGGTGCCATTGACCGCCATAATAAAGGTCCAGGTGTTGTGGTAAACAATCTGCTAGCTCTGGCAATGTTTTCGGTAGTGGGAATGCTGCCATTGTCGATTGTTGTTGAAAGTGTTGACAGTCTATTGGAAGGAAAATACCATTTCATAAACAAGCTGATGAATCTTCTCAGTCCTTTGCTTTGAGCCAGGCTAAACGAGATGCAAACGCAATCCGAGTTGGAACATCTGCGCTTGGACGGCAGATCATCTGCTTGCCGACAGTTGAACACATTTTGCTCTTCCGGCTTCCCCGTATTTTACGATGAGATGGTGCAAACTCCCTTACCGCGGATGGACTCCAATCTTTTCTATTTTCACCTCCGGTATCCGGCTCGCAGCACGATGTATGCCGGTCGTGTGGAGAAGCCAGACCGGCGCGTAAGTCGCGCTCTTGGTGGTCTCGCTCTGGTATCGGCACGTTCGCAAGTCTGAGCTAGGCACCAAGAACTCAAGTGCTTGGTCCAGGAAGATGTGGCATCCGACTGATTACACAATGTCAACAGGAGTATGCCAGACTCATTCATCGTACTCCAGTGAATTATCTGCATTGGCTTGAAGTGCCAAAGATCACTGCAACATTCTTACAAAATCCTCATCCTATTTTTTTGAATCTGTTCGTACCACTTGCATTCTGGTACCTTTTGTGGATGTATAGGGAGCCCAGATGGCGACATCCTTAACGAAATCGGTCACCTCACTAGCATCTATCGACCACTTGGTCAGGATCATCGCATTTGTTGTATTGCTGGTCAGCTAAAGTTCTTCACCGAGAAGCCTCGAGCACGGAGATAGCTCTGGGTCTGGCATCTGCTGGCATCTGACTTGTGGGACAGGTACTTTTCGCTGTCGTTGTGAAGACACTATACAATGCGTTCGTACACCCACTCGCTAAAATTCCAGGCCCAAGACTCTATGCGGCCTCTAACCTCCCATACCTGGCGGGACTGCTCTCGGGTCGCTGGCCGTACATTTTGAGAGATCTCCACGACAAGTACGGACCCGTGGTGCGGTTCACTCCCAACGATGTCTCATTCATTACCCCGACGGGGTGGCAGACCATCTACGGCCATAAAAGGCATGGCCAACTTTCATTCCAGAAGGATATGCGGCTGTACCGAAGTGCCCTGACCAATGCTGACAACATCTTGCTGGCCGACGACGCCAACCACAGCCGACATCGACGGCTGCTTGCGCATGCATTTTCAGAGAAGGCGCTCCGAGGCCAGGAATGGGTCCTAAATCACTACCTCACCTTGCTCATTCAGCAATTGGCAAAACGGTCCGATGAGGACCAAGTAGTCAATATGGTTCAATGGTACAACTTCACCACCTTTGATATTATCGGTGATTTGGCATTTGGAGAGCCGTTTGGCTGTCTCGAGGCCGGCGTGTATCATCCCTGGGTGGCCACCATTTTTGACGGGTTCCGCCTGGCCGTCTTCAACCAGGCAATCAAACGCCTCCCCATCGCAGCTCCCATTCTGCGCAGGTTCATTCCTCAAGACCTCGTCAAGAACCAAATGGATCATCTCCAGTTGAGTTTCTCGAAAGCACAGAAAAGGCTCGAGACGGGGAACACGGAAAGGGAAGATTTCATGTCCTACATTCTCCGCTTCAATGATGAAAAAGGCATGACTCCAGATGAGATCGGCGAGAACGCCAATATCTTGATCCTGGCAGGCAGCGAGACCACAGCGACCCTCCTCAGCGGTACTACCTTTTGGTTATTGAAGAACCCGAGAGTCTACCAAACCTTGGTACGGGAGATTCGAACCATGTTTGCCAAAGAAGAAGACATCACGTCCATCTCGGTCACAAATGCCAAATACTTACTTGCAGTCCTGAATGAGGGCTTACGGATCTATCCTCCCTCCCCCGGAGGTCTGGGACGTATTGCCCCCAGTGGCGGCGCTATTGTGGACGGATATGAGATCACAGAAGGAGTGAGTGCACCTTTCTACCCCAAACAGCACGCACTTCCCAAAAGGCTGCAAGGGTCTTGCGTGTTCCCTGTCTCCACAGATAACGATGACCAACTAACGCTGCCAAAAAATAGACGGTTGTATCGGTTCCCCATTGGGCTTCATACCATTCCAAGCACAACTTCACCTTACCCGAAGAGTTCATCCCAGAGCGTTGGATGGATGATCTACGATTCACCCAGGATGTCAGAGAGGTTGTTCAGCCTTTTCAATTCGGCCCTCGCAATTGTCTGGGCAAAAAGTATGATTTCACCCTCTGTTACACCCTGCACGTCCACATAGTTGTGATGCTGACCACTGTGTTTGACCTTTCTAGTCTCGCATATGTAGAGATGCGGCTGATTCTGGCTCGGATGCTGTGGAATTTCGACCTTGAGTTGATGCCGAACAGTGGTCGATGGAATGAGCAGAAGATCCTGTCTTTTTGGGATAAGGGTCCCCTGGACGTGAAGCTACGACGAGTCAATAGGGCATTATAGTCTATAGACTTGCGCAATAGGGGTATCATAACAGTCTCGATGGCTTCTACAGATTCTTTCAGATATTTCGCTAGTGATCAAGTCATGAAGCATTAAAATTTAGCAGGATCGGGTCTCCAGACCAAGCCTCAGCATGGGGATTATTAGATGAGAAGTAGTTTGAGTCGCACATCAGCAGCGGGGCTCACCCGGCACCCGGCCGTTACAGGCAAGTGAAACAAGGAAATTAATAATTGCTTTAGATAGCCTATATGGTGTCAGTCGGTGTATCGAGTTGGACTGTAAAATGTTGTCCGTCTTGAAAATTAAGGTACAAACATCGGACGATATATCCTAGTCATCTGCCCCTAAAACAAACCAAGCGCTCTTCAATCCTCAAGGAAACGCAGTTACCCGTGTCGAGATCCGGACACTTTCAGTGGGTTGACCGGACCAGCCCAGGCTCGAAGTCTTCCCCCATATACTTGGATACAGATAAGAATGATGAAAGCCGCAACGACAACGACAGCTTGCAGCCCAAACGTGAGGGCATAACCTTGTTTCTCCACCCACGAGTCGACAAAGTAAGGAACGGCAAACCCGGCCCCCACCCGAGCCATGTTGATGAGTGCCGAAACCTCGCCTGATGCCGATAAATAACAATCGAGGGCGAAGGCGACGGTAGCTACCGAGGTGACCATAACTCCGAGGACATCCATGCCCCAACCGAATACAATGCCAGCCACACTGAGTTTGTGTTGTAACGTCTCTCCAACGATGATCAGACCGGGCACCATGAAAGCTAGACCAATATAGGTTGACCAAAGGCGAACCTCAGGAACGAAGTACCCTTTATGACGCTTTCCGTACGCCCTGACGATGAAATCATTGAAGAAATGCCCAAAGAGTTCGCCGAGGAGGACGCCAACCAGGGGCGAAAAGAATACATATCCCACCGACACCGGTGCCAAGCCGTAACCACCAAGAGCGGCCGGCGTGCCGAGGATAATGACTGATGAAAGGTAGAGCCCGATCATCCACATGAAAATGGCAGCGTAAAACAGCATTGTTAATAAGATTACCGGCTTAAGAAAAACCTGGATAAGCCGCAGATAGGAGCTTGCGATCGTGGCAAAGTATTCCGAATGGTGTTTGATCTGCCAGACTCCTATCACCCGGAGCAGGCGGCTCCCGTGGTCCTTGGGCCGGGGCGGTTGTTCGTTGACTGGGACCGTACGGTTGTAATAACTTTCGTCCCCAAAAGCCAGAATCATGCAGATTAGAGCTCCTGCCCACGCGAAAACACACCAGAAGATAGTGTGCCACTGGCCCGTGGTCCCAACAATGAAATTGGCAAACATCGGAGCCAAGAAAGGTGAGCTGAGGTAGATAGCGTACCAGATACCGATCTTCCGCGCGTGTTCATGGAAGAAGAAACAATCTTCGACGAAAGCTAAGCCAATAGTCTGGCCCGTACTCTGGGTTACGGCCTGTAAGACACGTAAGGCGTAGTGAACGGGGAAGTTTGGCGCTAAAACCGTTCCCAGCGTGAAGAAGAAGCCTAATACTGTAGACCAAAAGAGGACGGGCATCCTTCCCCAGGAGTTAAGAAGCGGCATCCAGATGATTCCGGACACACCACACATGACAGCGGCGAGGGAGTTGGCGTGGTTAGCTGTCGGTAAGACATTCCATTCTTGGGCCTGCAGGAAGACAACAGCTACTCCGGAGCCGGCACCGAAGTCGCCAGCAAACGAGCCAAAAGAAATCAGGAACAAAGCCATGTGCTTCTTGAAGGGGCTCCAGTTCAACGGATCCTTGGGGTCGTCAGTTGGTTGAGGCACCAATATTGTCTAGGAAGGAATGGCAGTCAGTAATAGTCATGCAACAACAAAAGTGACGGGAGCCTTGAGCACGTACTTTGCCATCTTTAGCAAGCTTGATGTTAGGGTCCAGACTTTTATCGGCAAGCGTTGTTACGGTCAGCAGCACCTCGCTGTTGTGCTGTTCGATCTGCACTCAATCAGCACTGGGTCAATGTAACATTCCGGCATGAATACCTCGTCTGGCCCAATGACCGGAGACTCCAGACGCTCTTCAGTATGAGCGGTGTGTTCCTTGGACGCCATGATTTGTGTCACAAAAAGGGATTGTCGTGCGACAAAATTTGGAAGCAGGAGAGAAAGATAAACGACTTCCTGCGCCTTTCAGGTCCCGCGCATGCTCTTATAGTTGGCGGGAGGGCACAAAGCCAGTATTCTTAGCAGAGTCGATATCAATCATATCCTGTGCCAAAGTACAACCTCCCCAGTCAAGTTGAGTTGGGTCCGGGGCTTGCCCCCACGGGGATATCAAGTGGCCATGTGCCGCGCATTGTCACTATTGCGGGATGTGTGAAGTGGGCAAGCATAATCCATACCCACCAGGGTATATGGCCGGGGGCATAAACAAAAAAAGTGGAATGGCTTTGAACCATGGACCGCGTGTATAGATACGGCATCCTCCTAAGCCGCGCCCTGGGATGCTTGGGAAGCCCGAAATATGCCCCCGTGGGCGGGGAAGAGGAACCACAGCCGAAATGTTCGACGGGAGACTGTCGGGTGGCTGTTTGAGCAGTTATTTGCTTTAGTGTTCTGAATTGAGCGAACATACGCAAGACGATACATCAGGTGAACTCTCTTGCATTATGGTCCGGGTCCAATCAAGAGATCCCACCGTCCTGCCAGGAATCGAGACCTGTGGCTGAACAGGAAGAAAACCAACTTTCGTCTCTTTCTGGATTCGTGCATCCCATCGAAACCCCAGAAGTAAACAGCGACCAAATGACTGCAACAACTTATGAAGAATTCCATACTGACACGGAGGCGTTGGAAGTTGCAAGCCGAGTTCCAGACTCCATCCGTGGGAAAACCATCCTCACTACTGGCGTAAATCGTGGAGGGATCGGCTATGCAACGTCAGAAGCATTCGTAAGTAGAATTGTCGATGGCGCGCAGCTCACCTAGCCTTCAGTAATACTCCTGCAACTGACGGTATACAGTTCAATCAGGCTTCAGAATCTGTCGCCCGTCTCATTATTGCAGGTCGCACACCGTCGAAGATCCAGCAGAGTATTGAGTCGCTCCAACAAGAGTATCCCGATGTGGAATATCGTGCTCTTACGCTCGACTTGTCCAGCCAGCGAGCGGTCCGTCAAGCTGCAGCTGAAGTTCTTTCTTGGTCTGATGTGCCCACCATCGATGTTTTGGTCAACAGTGCCGGCGTAATGCTCATTCCTGAACGTAGACTGAGTGAGGACGGGATTGGACTGCACTTCGCCACCAATCATATCGGACATTTCCTCTTCACGAATCTGATCCTCCCTAAACTTGCCGACGCTGCAAAAGGGAAACCCAAGGGAGCGACACGGATCGTCAATCTCAGCTCTTCGACCGCAATGTCAGGTGGAGTCCGCTGGAGTGATATCAACTTTGAGCAAGTAAACAGAACACTACCGCCCGATGAACAGCCAGCATACTCTGAGCTCAAGGCTTGGGGCACGGCCAACCCAGAGGAGGAATTATACATTCCTCGAGAAGGATATAGCCAAAGTAAGGTGGCTAATGCTTTATTCAGTATCGGCCTGAATCACAAATTCCACTCTAAGTATGGCACCTTAAGCCTGGCATTGAACTCTGGTGTCATCCCCACCGAGCTGAATAGGAGTAGTCCTCCTGAAGTTGTTACGGCCATTCAGCGGTGAGACAAAGAGGGGAAGATCCATATCAAGACACTTGGTGCTGGAGCAGCTACTACCCTTGTTGCTGCGACCGATCCGGAGCTTCGCTTACCGGTGACAAAAGTGGGAAAGGATAATTACGGCGCGTATCTGATTGATTGCCAGATCAGTGATCAAGCCAATCCTCGGGCTCGATCAAGTGTTAATGCAGCCCGATTGTGGGCATTATCGGAAAATTTAGTCCATGAGAAGTTCACCTGAGACTTGAATAGTTGGGCAGCGTCATTGCTTAACTGTGGGTGTTTCTTTGGGAGGATGCTGGCGAACGATATATCTCGGGTACAGGTAGAATATCTTTACGTGTCCTGTGTGATTGAAAAAAGTCGGACTGAAATTAATTGTGTAGATAAGTAACCTTGTGGTGGGTTGACAATCATACCTCGCTGCAATTTCCTGCGTCTTGGTGGATGTATATATTGTACAGTGATGTCGTGCACCTCTTCCCTGCCTCAATACATCCTCGCTCCGGTGAGGCTGCTGTATCGCTCATGCCTCAGCATACACTGATCCAGTAATGGCTTTTATTTTGAGGAGCTAGAAGATCTCGGCACGCACCCTGAACCACGAGGTCACAAAGCGACTCTTTCGGGGTCCTGCGAAACAAGGCAAGCCTAGCGCGGTGACACTCCGCGGAATTTTCTCGGCCGTTCTAGGTCCAGCGCAACCGTGTCGTGAACTGTCAGGACCGCTCCGTACAATCTTGAACGGTCGTTACAACCCTTGGCGCGTCTTGGTCTGCCCCGTGGAGTACGTAGGGGAGCTGCGCGTACGTACGCGTGGTACGGTCACATCATGATTCCCCAGCTTGAACTCTCGCCGCGGGTGTGCGGGGAATGTTCGCCAAGAAAGCCATGGCTACATATTTCCCCGCTCCCAATCCCGGTCCGATTCCAAGGAAAGAGAAAGTCCTGAAGCACAGAAGAGGATCTTGCAAGATTCGCCGAGGATTCAGACCCTGATTCTCCCTCCCTTCCACCCGACGACCACCTCGCCGAAAACCCCTTTTCTTGCCGGCAATGCGCAGATGCCATGGACTTGACCCCGTCAAAGGTCTCGGAGTTACGCATCGTGGTTGAGAATGGCGACAGTGACGGCGACTTGGGAGCTGGGGTCAGACGCAAGCGTCGCCTAGCCCCTTGTGACAATTGCAGATAAGTCTCCACCGCTGTTGACCTCTTGCGCGAAATATTGACATTTGTGCACAGGGAAGCATCTCAAGTGTGAGTCTGTGCCCAGCCCGGTCAATATGTCGGGTATCTGAACAACTCCAGGTGATTACGCCAGCTCGGTCTGCGCCAGGTGTCAAAAAAGTGGCGAGAAGTGCATTCGAACCGCTGATCGTGTCAAGTTCAGGCACGGGTCTAGTGCAAAATATGATTCTAAAGGATTCGCTGCCAGTCAAGTCTGGGTGAGACCAAACAAATCTTCCGGTAGGTGGTTCTCCAAACAGCCTCAGCAGCCCTCAGCAAACCTCGTCTTCGGTACGGCGGCGGCAATGTTCTCCCTTATCCGCTCTCGCGTTGAAGCAGTCGTTAGCCCAATGGTACTCCGGGATGTCTGACACCAAGCGTTGCAGAACTAAAGTACATTGACGAAACTGCCGAGATAGCAGCGATATATGGTCAAAGTGAAGAAGATTCCGACATCGACCATGAATCGCAACGGGAACGACGGCAGCGGCAGGACCAGCAGCAGGACCAACAACACGAACAGCGAAATGGACAGATGCAGGAAGAAGGAGGGAGCGCACAATCACAATCTGACATTGCAGATGCTTCTCAACTTGACCCTGATTTCACACCAACATATACAGCCGACGACCTACCTGAGGAATTCCAAAACCCCTCTACAGCATTATTCTCGACAGCTGATGCCAATTCCTCGCCCAGCGACTGCCTTCGCGATTCTTCACAATTATGTGACACATCATGGAAGCAGCGCTTCCAGACCGAGCAGTCCACAGCTGGCCAGTCAGATCGCCTGCGGGGGTTTTCTGGCTCCCAGACCTCAGTGCCCTTTCCCTCTACCACCCAGAGCCGCAGTGTCAGAGACACCTCCACACGGAGCTCTTTTTCGAGTGGCCTTGTCAAAATACCTCCCAGCGCTGTATCTCAGACCGCCAGCTCTGAGCTCGAAGTCACACTTTTACGATACTTCATTGATGTACTGGCGTGCTGGTTTGACATCTGCGACCCCGAGAAACACTTTGCACTGATTGTGCCCCATCGAGCCCGCTGGTGTCCACCCTTGAAAACCGCGTTACTCGCATCTTCGGCGCGTCACATGACACGTGTCTGCAATCCGATGTCGAAACCTGGTTTTGTCTACGTTCACGATGGTGAGGTCTTACCCGACCTCACCGAAGAGACGGCATTACACTATCATAGCGAGTGTATAAAAGATTTGGTCCAGCGGAGTATGAATATGGAGCAGCCGCAAGACGCAAGTCTCCTCGCTGCCGCAATCATCCTGCGCTTCTACGAGGAGATTGATGCGCCGCTCCGTGAAGACCCGGGTGACAATGAGCTCTTTCTGCGCGTGATCAATGTCTTTATTGACGCTCAAATCCCTTCTGCACCTGTGGTCCCGCACAGCTCTCCCGTGATTACCGGGCCCGAAATAGCCACAAATCCGTACGGATCTTTGCTCTTCTCGCCTCAGATCACATCATCTCCGAACGCTCCTTCCCAGATCTCCAGCCGCAACGAATTTCCTTCACATTGGCGTACCGACGGGCTGCGCCAGGCAGGTTTCTGGGTAGCTTTCAGACAAGAGGTCCACAGCGCCTTCTTGAAGCAGCGGCCTTTCAATCTCTCTCTCGCCCGTTGCGAAGCGTTCCGCAGTTTCTCGCCCGCCGAGGACGCCGTCTGGGCCGATCGGTTGGTTGTGTTCTGCGCGGATGTGCTAGAATTTTGCTACAATGACAACAAAGACCAGGCGTCGCAGCAAAAGCCCGTTGAGTCAACGAAAGATCGTTGGCTGACCTTGAAGCGCTATGAGAAGACGTGGAGAGAGGTTCTGCCTGCCAGTTTCGAACCGATCTATTACCGGGATCCCAACCGCTTCAAAGGAGAAGTCTTTCCACAAATATGCTACATGGTCGATTGTCACGTGGTGGGAGTACAATATGTGGAACTCGCGAAGATTCTGCTCTCAGTCTACGATCCTACACGACCAAAGCTTGGACCAGGCTACATTGCAAGTATGCGTTCCTTGTCTAGCGAGGTACAGGCGGCCGTGTTACGTCTCTGCGGCATTGCCACGAGTAATCGCAAGTGCCCTCCAGCCTTGGTCACGGCTTTTCTGGCCATTGCCATGTGTGGAGAATATTTTCAAGACCCGCTGGAACAAGAGGCTTTGCTCGGACTTTTGGACGAGATGGAGACCAATGGTTGGCCTGCTGGTGATACGAGACAGACTCTGAAAGAGGCATGGCACAGAGCGAGCGAATGACACCGCCACGTCGTCTTCGAGATGAGATGATACGATTCATGTGGCACAAACGTAATAACGCGAATGTTCGTCGAGACATTGTGACCGTCTGCGCATAACTAGGTCACGCTGACTGGCATATTGTGTACAAGGCATACTTTCTACGGCTGTACAGTTTCGTTTTGAGAGGACAAATATTCTATTCGTAGATCAAATCATCCCCAAACATCTTCCTGCCATCTTTTCAGTCGCTTTCTCTCTTTCCTCCAATTGTTCAACCTGTCATCATCATATGATCTTGCCTCTTTGACTCCTTCGCCGAGCCGCTTGCCAACTTCTCGGGCCATGGCCGCCGATCCACAGAGATACAAGGCTGCATCCTCTTTGAGGAGCATGTCAACCAAATCATCTTGTCGCTCGGCCACGCGGTCCTGAACGTAGACCTTCTTCTGACCTTCCACGCGCGAGAATGCATATACAATCTCCAGCCCCGGCAGGCTCGATTGCAACTGCTCCAAGTCCTCCTTGTACAAGAGGTCCTGGTCCGGATGTCGGCAGCCAAAAATCAGGATCATCCGGCCGACAGGGCCCCTGTGACCCTGGAGCCGTGCGAGACGAGCGCGCTCATGTATGAAGGCACGGAATGGAGCAATGCCTGTGCCGGCTGCAACCATGATGATTGGGAGACTCAATGACGCAGGTAGCTTGAATGTGGAATGCCGGATCGAGGCATGAAGAATACTTGTTGATGCCGAGTTTGTCGTTATTGGCAGGCTCGGGTTGACAATGCGCGGGTAGAGCGCACTGAGGGGTGAAGGGCCATCCGATGTGAAAGTGGAGAGGTATGTGCTTGCCAATCCGGGGATGAAAGTGGCTTTTTCTCCAAGCAGAGGCTTTGGATTGTTGGCAACTGTGATGGCAGCACGCCGGGGTGATGTTATGCTTGAGCTGGAGATGGAATAATAGCGAGATTGCATCGGCCGGAGCGACTCAATGACAAAAGATAGGGGGAGGCTAGACCAACTGGCGCTAGGATCAACGCCCTGGATATGTCTCAGAAGCCGATTGAAGGTAATGTGTGTTTTGGCCAAGAATGCAGAAAAGACACTCTTGTCCGAGGCCAGGGCTAGGAGCTGATCCTTTGCAGAAGAGGAGCTGGCGATCTGTGCTAGGGACATGACCGTCTCGCGAGAGACAGGCGCACAGATCTCGAGATAATGGCTGAAGAGCGCAGATATCGTGGTTGGGGACGGTAGGTTGAGCTTTTCAGAGGTCGATTCAGAACGTTGAATCATGATAGGGATGTCCTCGCGGCCCCTGAGACCTAGGACATCGACAAGTGCCTTAACCTCAGAGATCGGATTGATCGGCCGGACGGCTAGGTGATCGCCTGTCTTGTATTTGACTTCTGGGTGCTCGGACAGGTTAATTTCGAGATGCAGGCAGCTGCGCATTTCTGACGTGTCACTGAGAAGCTCTTGAGCTGAAGTTATCGGCAAGGGAACTATTGCGGTCGATGGCCCGGTCGAGACTTCGGTGGAAGATTGTTTCAGGGGTTCGCCCAAGTAGATGCCGCTCGAGTCGATGGACTCGTCGAAGACGATTTTTATCGCTGGCTCGTATACCGGTTCAGACTCGGTGAGACCTAGCTGGGTGCAAAACTCGTGGAGCAAGCTCGTTTTCCACTCCATGAAATCTTCGTCCGTACTACCTTGGGCCTCGTCGGCTTTTCCCACAGGAAGGATCTTCTGAGCCCCGAGGCCTTGCAGCGAAGCAACGACGGTGTCGATCACTGCATTGTAGCGCTTGTAGTTGCTGTTCCCGCAGCCGAAAGCGGCGTACCTCAGATTGGCAAATGACACTTGAGGTTTTGATTGTAGCCAACTCAGAAAGCTGGTAGAATTGTCGCTGGGATCGCCTTCGCCGTATGTGGACATGATGAAGATGGCATACTGAGACTCAGATAATTCGGCGATGGTGTGATGATCATAGTCCGAGACATCGGCCACTAACACTTCGAGCTTGAGGCGGCCGTGGAAATCTCTTGCTAGGCGATGTGCGAAGCCTTCTGCGGTGCCAGACTGAGAACCCCAGAAGATAACCGCTTGATGACCTGTTTCGGCAAGCGATTGTGCGATATTCCGTGTAGCTTTGGTGGCGGCACCTGGGACTGAGGCGCCAGCTTGAGGCCTTTCGAACCACTTGTAGTGATATGGATCGGGCTTGTCCCATATTATGCCGCACCCAAAATATGTGATGCTGCCGGCGAGCAAGATCGCGAGTATGAGAAGGTCATCTAGTCCGGGATTCTTGATCAATTGCCGAAGGAGTTCTGGGAGCCGAGCCAGTCTGCTGAACTCTACCAGTGTGAACGACATTCTTGTCCAACTTGCAGACCGCTGTTGGGAGAAAGATGCTTCTTTTACTTTTGTGTCCTGCTTGAGAATCCATTGTCATATATTCTGTGGTCCAGGTGTGGCGCCGCAATCCCAAGTCCGAGGCGTCGCTGTGAGCTTTGGTTGGACATGTTTATCCACAGACGCCACGCTTGCACAGCAGCAACTCTGAAGCTGATCCCCTGGGGCCGGCGAAAGTAACCTCCAAGGGGGGTCTAGAAGAGAAAGAGAGGGAGGACATGAACCCTTCGGCGGGATATCCCGGCGTGTGTTTCTAAATAGATACGGTTGGCAACCCTCGGCGGAAAACTACCCCTCTTGAGAAAGCGCTAGCCCGGGGAAGATCCATGCAGGTCTGTCATTTGCGGTGTGAACTCCCAGGTCCCTGTGGAGGTGGATCAGCCTTCTATTTTTGCGACATCTGCCCCGATTGTAGGTAATGGAGATATGAAAACGTGATCTGGTCTCTCGGCCAGGGCGGGAAGGTTGTGTGCCACTGAGAGGATATAGATTGCCCCTGCTCTTGGAATCCAGTCGGATCATCACGAAATCACCTTGTCTTCCTTCCAATATACGTTCAGCTCAGGATGCTGGGTTACTTCTTTTCTGTTGTCACGGCTGCGGCTGCATTTGGCTACCTTGTCCTTGTTCCTCTCATCAACTACTTCCGTGACCCCAAAGGTCTCCGCAAATATCCGACCTTGTCGATACTTTCTGGTATCTCGGATCTCCCATTCATATACGAGGCACACAAAGGATTTCGATCTCAGACTTTACTCAACGCCCACAAGAAACACCCCGTTATTCGCATTGGGCCGAACTCTCTATCTTTCAGCAAGAAGGAAGCCATCAAGGATATTTATGGGCACAACACAAAATGCATCAAAGACACAATGTACGACGTGCTGGCAGGCACCCATTACCATCTGGCGGATGTCGTTGACAGGCCCGAGCACGCCCGCAAGAGGAAAATGCTGTCGAGTGCCTATGCCATCAAAAATCTCGAGGGTTGGGAGCACAAGGTGGCTGATGTCACAAGTCGACTGATCAAGTCGTTCGATGATCGATGCACCGAACCATTGGCTGCAGGAGACCTCCCGTCGCCAGAAGACCAAACGGTAGACTATCGAATGTGGACCAACCTCTTCACTGTCTGCGCAATTGCCAATATTGGACTTAGTGAGGACCTTGGGTTTCTCGAGCGTGGCGATGATTTGGTCACCTCAGAGGGTCCTGACGGCACATTGAAGCAAGTCCATTTTAGAGAATGTTTGCATGCCACCGCTTGGGCTCAGTCGAATTTAGTCTGGTCGTATAAATGGTTCGAAACGCTGGTCCGCATCAGCAAACTAGTGTCACCGACATATCGTCGAAAATGGGGCCTCAATAAAGACTGGGATGGCATCGTCCGCAACCGGGCGACGACACGTTTCAAGAGATTTCAGGCTGGTGAGAAGCTTAACGACTTTTTCTCTGCCCTTTTGTTCGACAAATATGGTGGTCCCAATGACCTAGAATGGGGTGAAATGGTTGCTGAAGTCAGCATCATGATGAATGCGGGTTCCGATACGACCGCTATCGCCATGAACAATGTCATGTACTTGCTGCTGAAGAACCCTCGATGTTTGCAGAACCTTCGTGAAGAGATTGATGGTACTCTGGACGAGGACGAGGTCGTTGCTCCCTACGACAAGGTCAAGCACCTCCCTTACCTGCGAGCCTGTTTGGATGAGAGCATGCGACTATTTCCACCCACCACCTTTGGCCTTCCTCGTAAGACGCCACCCGAGGGTGCTGCGGTGGTTGAGGAATACATTCCCGGCAATACCACAGTCTCAATTTCTTCTTATGTCGCCCACAGGGATGCCGATGTCTTCCCCGACTCAGAGATGTATAACCCCGACAGATGGATGGGTGAGGAGGGGAAAAATTTGCAGCCATTTTTCATTGCTTTCTCGGCGGGTGCAAGAGGATGCATTGGTAGAAACATTAGCTATTTGGAGCAGATGGTGCTGCTGGCATCACTACTTCATCGCTACGAGTTTGCTCTCCCTCATCCAGAATGGGAGCCTACGAGGAGAGAGAACTTTAACTTGTCTCCAGGGCCCATGCCACTCAAGGTGTGGAGGAGAAAGTGCATTGAGGAAGCTTAATTTGCTGGAGGTGCACGAAATCTGAGGTCAGCGTCTTGCGAGATGTTTCTGCACCTTTTGTTGATGAGGAGTTGATACCGTAGCCATGCTTTACATATTCACTATAATCAAGTGACTGAATCAAATTGATGACCAGCTTGACTACGTGCCTACACTGGCGTGCTGGAACAACGCTGTGGCAACTTTTTACCCGCTTGTTGTTCCATGGATGGAGTCCAGCCCCGTACGGAGTAGCAACTTGAACTGGTCGAGCTCGCCGAAGCCCTTGAAGTGGGTTCCATTCGTCCAAGTTGGGCTTCATTCCCTCGCTGGCTTGCCCCCACAGTTTGATGTCAAGTTCGGAGCCCCAGACCCTTTACCAGCTTCGCAGGAATCTACTCGCCGAACATTCCTCCCTCTACATGTCTGTGTTGTCACTCTAGACAGTGGCCAGTCAACACCCCGGATCTTCCAACTTCGCCACAAACGCCGTAGGATTCCCACACAGATGATTTGGTCACGTAGAGCGACGGAAATCAATCTTGCCACGAGCACAGATTGGTCGGCATTTGGCCGTAGCTTTGGAATGACCTTACCTCTACATCATTACACGCATGTAACGGTCTTTCCGATCTAGAGCAACCTTCAACCCCATGGGCACTTCCCTGCCGGGAACTCTTCAAAGTATCTTCCTCACGCCTATATAATACGACTTTGTGCTCCTCCGACTCAGTCGTCGCAACGGCCAAGCTTCTCAAGCGCAGAACCTAGTCGCCAAGCCAACAAATCTCCCGGGCTTCTTACAAATTATCTTCATACGTTTGCACAACACTTAACGCAAAAGATGGCTAATCGAGATCATATGGCTTTTGAGCAAGCCGTCCAGGAGAAGAGCAGAAAGTTCGAACACATGGAAACCAACCAGGTCGGCCGTAGCAGCCTTCGACCAGACAGCGCGATGAGAGCCTCCTTCGACCGCCGCAACTCGGCATCTGCACCTGGCAGTCGCCGAGATTCCATTAGAAGGAGCTTCGACAAGGCCAACTTGGCCATGGTCTTTCCTGACTCAACTCACGTGGAAGTCAACGACGATGACTCAACCCAGGACATTGACGACATTGCCGTGTCATGGTACGTCTGGCTTATCTCGGCCACCGCGTCCATTGCAGGCTCCCTTTTTGGCTACGATACTGGTATCATTTCTGCCGTCTTGGTGTACCTGCACAGCGATTTGAACAATCGTCCAGTCACATCGAGCGAGAAGGAATTGATCACGTCTCTTTGTTCCGGTGGTGCCTTTATTGGTTCAATCATAGCAGGTTTGACCGCCGACAAGGTAGCATCTTCCCTTTACCACACTTGAAAGCAGCTTCTGACATTTCAAATCACAGTATGGTCGCAAGATTGCAATCTACGTCGGCTGTGTTCTCTTCACTGTGGGAGCTCTCCTACAGGCAGCCGCGTACACTATTGCTCAGATGTCCGTCGGAAGATTGGTGGTTGGGTTCGGCGTGGGCTCAGCTGCCATGGTCGTACCCCTCTACGTTGCCGAGATCGCTCCTACCAAGGTTCGTGGTCGACTTATTGGCCTGAACAATATGTCAATTACCGGCGGTCAAGTCATAAGCTATGGCATTGGAGCCGCGTTTGCACATGTGTAAGTCTGACGCCGCGAACACAATTGCACCACCTTTGTATTCTGACGATCCTAGTCCTAATGGTTGGCGCTACATGGTTGGCCTTGGAGGTGTCCCGGCGATCCTCCTGGCCTGTCTGTTGCCCTTCTGCCCCGAGTCTCCACGTCAATTGATCTACCACGGCAAGATCGCAGAGGCTGAAGCCGTGCTCGCAAAGATCTACAAGGGCGCCAGTGCCGAGCAAGTCCGCGCCAAAGCAGCCGTCATTGCTGCTGCATGCGAGGAAGTCAAAGAGCTCAACGAGAACCAATCCCGCTGGGGTAAAATTAAGCAGCTGCACACCAATCCAGCCAATTTCCGCGCTCTTGTCTGCGCCTGCGGTCTCATGGTCATCTCGCAGATGTCCGGGTTCAATACACTCATGTACTATTCTTCGACACTTTTCGCGCTGGTTGGTTTCTCCAACCCCGTGGCCATCGGTCTAGTCGTTTCCGGCACCAACTTTGTGATGACATGGATCAACATGATGTGCGTCGACCCAATTGGACGTCGCCGTGTCCTAGTTTCGACCGTTTGGGGTATGTCGGCCGGTCTGATTGCGGTAGCGGTGGCCTTCAGTTTCATTCCGGTTGACACGCACACTCTCGAGCTCCAAGCAACCAAAGTCACTCCACCAGCCATCGTGGTGCTTGTCTTCATCATATGGTTTGTCTTCTTCTACGGCGTGTCCGTCGGCAATACCGCGTGGATGAGCACCGACTTCTTCCCCATGGAAGTCCGCGCCACTGGTACCATGTGGCTAACCTGCTCGTGTTGGGGGTCCAACATCATCGTCTCTTCGACCTTTTTGTCCATGATGAAGGGCATGACCCCATCCGGCGCTTTTGGTTTCTATGCTGCCATCTGCGGCATCGGCTGGATCTTGATCATTCTGTTCTACCCTGAAGTGTCGGGCTTGAACCTCGAAGAGATTGGCGAAGTTTTCCAACATGGCTTTGGTGTCAAGTATGCAAGACAGTTGAGAAAGGAAAAGAAGCAGGAGATCAAAGAGCGCCTCAAGAACCAACCCAGGACCAGAGCCGTGGGTCATTGAGTTTAATGGACACTTCGCTCGCCCCAACTTCCAACATGGTAGAGAATGAGTACGAGCTTTAGGATTGTTTAGCTTTTACGAGCACTATAGGGAAAATGAATCATGGATTCACGGAGGAAGACTGGTTGCACAGATGGAATGAATTCGCGAATGATGCGAAATTTAAAGCTATTTGATATTATCCCACCTTTCACATTCAAAGATGAATTGAAGTGGTTTATGCAGTATCCAACCCAAAATCAATCTCAATCTTTTCCAATCAACATGCAAAAAGCTCCTATAGTCAAGACTTAGCAATGCCTTCTCCCCTGCTTCTTATTCTTGAATCCCTTTGTTAGATTGATACCACATGTTCCCGGGTAATGGACAAGGTGTAGCCGAGTTGTCACTTCTCAGGTGTCCGACCATCAAGACGCCTAGGGTATGAGGAGACAGGATTGGCGCGTAAGCATATACTACGGAATCCTTTTCCTTAGATGCTATACATGCCTTACATTTCAGAAAGAAAACATGAAACCAAAGTACACCTACATATAGAACTCAGGAGCGCTCAAGAATCACGAACAGCGACATTCATACCATCGTCCTCACAATATCAAGACTCCAATCTCCTGGGGCGACGCAAACTTCATCCAGTTATTACGAAGCAGATTAAACTTTTTGGTCAATGGAGACTTGATTAAAGGACAAGAGAATATCAAGATATGATGAAGAAAACAGCATTCCAATCTATTCTAGATATGGCTCAGGAGCCACGCCTTCCAGTATCGCCTTGATCCTAAGGGCCAATTTCTTCGAGTGATATCTACCATGTTGCAAAGTCCCCACCATTAGCCATAGACCAGGAACACCGCTGGTTTTCCACGCCGTATTGAGTTCGCCTTCCTCATCCATACCCCAAATTGGGTTACATTGATCTGCGATCTCATCACCAAGGATATTGCGGACCGAATCGATAGTATTGGAAAATCCGGTGGCCAACACGACTAGATCGTATTGTTGCTCTCGGTCGCCGTTCAGTACGATACTGTTTTCGGTGAAAGCGATCGGGTACCCTTGCTCGACTTTGATCTTGCCATTGATGATCGCCTGGCAAGCACCGGCATCGAAATAGAAGCCTCCGTTCTTGGTGTACCCAAGAGTATGAGAACCGGTGTCACGTTGACCTCTCCAGACACGGAAACCGGCCCTTTCCATATTGGCAATCAGTTCTACGTCGGCGTTCCAGATGTCTCGGGCCACTCGGCGATTCAGCTCTTCCGCTGGACCGACGGGCATACTGTAATTCAGTCGATCTGCATTTTCGATATTTGGTGGTTTGTGGTCTTTGGGCTCGTAAAGAGGAGCGAGAATCTGGAAACATAGATTTAGTAAATATGGGTGGCGCTGCGCAGGTGGATCATGACTTACCCTCGGAACCGATTCTTCCAAGGACATCAGGTACGCAGGCGACCTCTGAAGGAGAGTGACATCGATGCTGCGACGAGCAAAATCGTATGCTGTATCGAAGCCGGAAGAAGACGTTCCCACGACAAGAACCTTCTTGCCGACCCACTCACGGGCGGAGTCATGCTGGGTCGAGTGCCGGACGGTGCCCTTGAACTTGTCCATGCCGGGGATGTTTGGGGTGAAGGGCACACCAGCAAGAGATGTGGCAACGACAACGTGCGCGGGATGAAAAGTCCGCGTATACTTGTTGTCTTTCGTCCCACGTTCAACCGTCACCTCCCACTCACCCGTGCTGGATTGTGAAGCTCCCACCACGGAACTGTCAGTCCACGTGGTTAGCTCCATAGCACTCGCATACCATTCAAGCCAATCACCCATCTTCCCGGCTGGGGTATATGTTGGCCAGTGGTCGGGATAAGGGAAGTAGGGAAAATGATCGGCCCAATGAGGAAGATGGAGGGAGAGATATTCGTATCGGTTGCGCCAGTTGTCGCCGATCCGCTTGTTGCGCTCAACCACAAGGGCGTCGATGCCGAGGGCCTTGAGTCGAGCAGCCATATGAAGGCCACAGACAGAATCTTAGCATGATACATCGAGGATACGGAATGTAACTTACCAGTGACCTCCACCAATCACAAGGACTTGAGGCTCGACGCCTTCCAGGTTGTCATCCTCGATCCTCTGGTTGTGCCAGGACTTGTCTCCAGTCATGTGGCCATCCCTGTTGGGCACTTCTGGGTGGCCGATAAGGCTCTCGATAGCGGTATGAAGCGTCCAGATCTTGAAACCATCGGTTGTTTTGATAAGGTTCAAGACACCAGTTGCGCCGACGAGGTTGGTCTCGAAAGAATATACGATTTGCAGCCAGGCGATATCAGGGTATGGCCGCTGGATCGACGGGGCGGGTTCGATCAGCTTGTAGTTGCGGGTTGGCGTGCGAGGGAAAAGATCCCAAGCTGCCTTTTCTATGTTTTTCGGCGTGTTGAAGGAACGATAGTCCCAAGTGAAAGACACTTTGTCTCTCCATACTCCTGTGGGAGGAAGGTTAGAGTCAAGAATAATGATGAGACAAGGACGTTCGATTTACCACAGTTCAAGAACAAGTCGGCAAATGCTTGGGAATCACGGCTTTGGATGACCTGTTCCAACTGTTTTACGAAACGATCGGCAATTTCCTCGCGACTCTTCTCGCCGCCTTCGGTGAAATCGAGGATATCCTTGCTATCGGCATACGTTGGTAGTGGGAAATTGTACTTGAACGCATACATGTAATCATCGGCAACGGGCTTTTTCCAAGTATCATTTCGGTAGGCGAGAGGGGCATTTTCGACCTTGAAGAGCTCCTTAGGAGTCGGAGGCTCGATGATCGCAGACGGAGCCATTTGAGTGGTATGTGCTATGCTGTGAAGCGGCACATAGGGTACCAGTGGTCTATATATTGTTTTTGAAAGTCGCGTCTTGACCACTGTCACGCTTGGTAGACACACAGAGATATTTCTCGCTCGGCCCCTCCCCCGGTCCGATCTCTAGTTGCAGCAGTACCTTTGGGGGTATTGTCTGATGCGTGAGAGATGGGCGGTGGCTAGATGGGACGGCTTTCTGTGTGGTTTCGCGGGGTTAGTTTGACGGCGAGGAGTTGCCAAAAGCGACCAAAAGCGTCATCCGCCGAAACTTTCCTGGTTCGTTGATAAACTCGGTCCCGTACTAACGTCACGATGCACTCGACGTTTCAATAAGTACAACTTCAACAGATGTTCTATCGCAATATTGGGTCTTAAGCGGCACACAATATTGACCGTGTTATTATTCTCAGTGGTTAGCTTATCTCGTACCGCTATGAATACTCCGGAAATCCCCAGCTTCAAGCTTTCCAACGGGAACTCGATCCCAGGTATTGGCCTTGGTGAGTACTTTTCCACATTCTCGTTGGGCTTTCTGGCTTGGTCTGAGGTGAGGGCTCCCCGCCTCGCAAACCCGTCCGAGAAGGCTCTATACAGGCTCTTCCTAGGCTCATGCATACATAGGCACATGGCTAGCACCCCCTGGAGAAGTTGGTGAAGCGGTGGTCGCTGCCTTGAAAGAAGGTTACAGGCATATCGACTGTGCGCTCATCTACAAGAACGAGGCCGAGGTGGGCCAGGGCATCAAGCGATCTGGTGTTCCACGCGAAGAGATTTTCATCACTTCCAAACTGTGGAACACTTTCCACCCAAATGCGGCCGAGAGTCTGCGTCGGTCGCTTGAGGACTTAGGCACGGATTACCTAGATCTCTATGTAAGTAAACACGTGCAGACAACCATTTCAATCGGCAAACAGATGAGACCAGCCCTTGAGTCTTGTCTTGAATGGCAAGGACAAGTCTGTGTCCAGTTGTTTCCCTTGATGAAGACATGTTATTGACTGGAAACTAGCTCATCCACTGGCCCGTACGACTTGTTCCCGTAAGGTTGTCCCTCGAACCTTTAGAAAGCCCAGTTGTCTTAATTTACTACGCACCTTGAGGCAATTCCCCATCTATTGTGCTTGAGCTGATCTTTGGCAGAATGGGAGCAACGAATTACTACCGGTCAATCCGGATGGAAGTCGCTCTGTAGACCGGGGCTGGGATATGAGCAAGACTTGGGCCCAGATGGAGGAGATCCTTGCATCTGGAAAGGTGAAAGCAATCGGAGTTTGCAACTGGTCTGTTCCATACCTCGAAGAACTTAAGAAGACCTGGCGTGTGAAGCCCGTGGTCAACCAAGTCGAACTTCACCCATCTCTTCCACAGCACGAACTTGTCCAATGGTGCAAGAAAGAAGGAATACTGGTAGAGGCTTATTCACCTCTCGGGGGCTCAGGTAAGATGCAATATCCCAGGCTTAACAATGTTGAGTCTCTTTTCGGGATCATCTCGCGCTCTCAGATGGTATTCCCGGCGAAGCAGCCGACTGACCTACTGCACAGGCGCACCTATCGCATCGGATTCAGAAATCGTCAGAATCGCCAAGAAGCACGACGTTGCGCCTGCGAATATTCTGATATCCTTCCATGTCAACCAAGGAGTAGTGCCTCTTGTCAAAAGCACTTCCCCGTCACGGCTCAAGTCGAACTTCCAGATTGTAAACCTCGACGACGAAGATCTGAAGACGCTCAACGAATTTAGCAAGCAGCCCGGAAAGGCGAAACGCTACAACACCCCGCTCTGGGGCTGGGATCTGGGATTTTCTGACTGGTATGAACGATCTTGAAGTTAGGTTTAAGATGGAATGTTCCGAAGGTTGCTTACGCGGGTTGTCATTGCGTGCATTGGGGTTATGTCCTAAAAGTAACGCATTTGGGAGCGACTGCATTATTTTTTAGATTGACTGAGGTATATCATTCCAAGACGAGTACGTATTCTGATGAGATATCTCGTTGAAGTCTAAGCCCATAAGCAGATCTACGACTGATTTGTTGTATAACGATAAAACGTAGAACTGTTCAAGTATACAATCGTTTCAAATGTAGAATTGTTCAAGTATAGAATTGTTGAAATCTAGACCTCCTATTTTAGGCACAATCTAATTCCCACCTTGCATCAAAGTCTTCGTCACTCTTGGAATGAAAGTAGTATGAAACGTAGACGATCCTTAAATATAGAGCGCTTTCTAGGGTCATCTCGCATAAGAACTTAGATACGCTTTCCGCTCTGATCAAACTCAATCCTCTTTCCAGTCCTGAAGCTCTCTTGCAAAGTCTGTGCAACCTTCAGACTCGTGACGCACGCCTCCAACGAAATTGGCATAGGCTTATTATCAAGGACGGCGTCCGTGTACGCAATCAACTCCGACACAAAACTGGGTTTATAGCGATCATACCAGCTCGGCAACACCGAGACGTGAATACCCGCCTCGTCAGATAGTTCCAATCTGTTGCTCTTCGAGACCAAGTTGACCGAGAGCTTGCCGTGTGTGCCGAAGATCTCGGTCTGGTTGTCGTAGCCTGCTGCGGCAGTGCGGGAGTTGTAATGGAATGAAATCTGACCGCCCCAATATTGGACGGTGCCCACAACGTTGTCCGCATCGTTCAGGGATTCGTCCTCGAGCTCTTTGAAATGGGAAACCGTGCCAAAGGCGCATACGGATCGAGGTACGACGGGCTTGCCGTCAAACCCGAAGAACGACAGGGTGAGGTCGATGTCATGGATGACGGAGTCGACGAAGAATCCACCTCCCTTTGCCGCATTGACCACATATGAATGCATGAAGGGCGCGTCGTCGAGCTTCTCGCAACCCTGGGATCGCACCACCACGGGTGAGCCGATGGCGCCCTCACGGATTTTTTGCACCGCATCTTGGTAGTTCTCGTCGAATCGTCGGGTGAAACCCACCATGAGCCGGGTCTTGGGTGATGCGTGCACTATAGCAACAAGTTCCTCTACTTGTTCCACGGTCTGGGCGATAGGTTTCTCACAAAGTACGTGAATACCTCGCTGGAGCGCCACTTTGGTATGTTGATAGTGAAGCTCGGTGATTGAAGCGACCACAACCGCATCGAGGGCTGGGAATTGGATCATCTCCTCGAATGTAGGATACACCGCTACTCCATGAGGGACTAGGTTGCTCTCGGCCCATTTGAGGTCCGCCTTGGCCGGTGAACAGGCGCAAACCAGTCTCGCTCGAGATACTGACTTGAGAATGTTGAGCGCATGCTGTTGTCCCATTCGACCTATACCAACCACACCGAACTTCAGAACCCGTGGTTGAGAGTACACCGATGCTGCATTTTCGATTTCGGCTGCATGACCATTGGAGGCGGTGTTATCGCCCATTTTTATTATCTCCGAATCGAAATCTGGTCTGCGTTGGCCAAATTCGCGTTTTTTAGAAGGCAAGGCGGGACTTCTAGGCTTATATTGGCAGTCTCGGGCTATTCTTCAAATCCTACGTACTTAAACAGATCTCATGGGCTTGGCATTAGCAGTATGTAAAACTAACCCGATCTCAATGCGGACTCGGCGAATACTGCCGTTTCTGTCGAGCTTGCGGATCGACGCGTAAAGTACGGAGTAATGGAGTAAAACCTGCTGAACTGACGGACGACTGTGTCTGTCATTTTGCACACTGTGAATACTACTTTGCCGACAATCCAGCTGCTGCTCGGCAGGAGCGCGTCTTGTCGCGCCTTCGCAACTTCGGTGTAGGAGAAGAATGATCGATCCCAGTTGATCTGCAGCAGCTAACAAAAGTGGTGCGTCTGAGCAATGAAGATCAAGCGGTCTACGATATCCACGACATCGTCAAAGCCTATTACAAAGTGGCCATCAAACGTTTTATGGACAATGTTGTAGTTTGAGTGGTCGAAAGATCTTGGCTTGGACCTGTTGGCTTTATTGGGATGTTTGATGGTGAGTTTGTTGGAAGGCTCTCTGATGAAGAACTCGCTTCCATTGCTGCCGAAAACTACAGCACCACCAACGTGGGAGCTGATTTGAAAGAGAAGCTCCGTCGCTTCGGTGAGGCGCGGCGAATTGCAAAGTCCATATGATCATTTTTGGTAATCCTCTCCAGGCAAGGTTTTTCCCGCTTTCAGCCCTGGGGTTTTCTCTTGCCTCAAGCGCGAATGCGGGAGATGATGGTGAATGCTCGTTATGTCAGTGTACTTCAACTTTAGCAGCGTCCCCTCAAGGTCATCATGTAAACGTATCGCAACACATTACTCTTGTCAGCCGCGATGACAAAGACAATGGGAAAGATCTGAAGGTCATCCAAGCCCTTACAAAGACTCCCAGCATCCAGTAGACCTGATATCGCACAGAGATCGCACGCGCTTTTATCGAAACTTGTTAAAGTTTGGCTAAGCCAGAGACGGCGCTCCTCTAACTCAGCACTTCTCCAGCCCGAAAGAATCACTCAAAAATGTGTACCATCTTCCAAGATTTCTAGCTTGGCCCAAAATGCTCACAGCCATTCAAGGTCCTAAGGCTTATGTCCGCTGCGTCGAACAAAATCTCCAAACCTTGTCCGCAGCAGTAAATAGCTATCAGAATGTAGTTCATTTAATACATAAGGAGTTACTATTATTAACTAAAAGAATTTACTAATGTCACAATATAAATATAAATCTACTTTAGTAGAGGGATAAGCTAGCGAAAGAGGTTAATTAATGGAGATTTAATAATACTAATAGTATAGCTATAAAACTAGACCTTTATTAACTAAATAAGATTATTAAAACGCTATAAAAGAGAATTTTAAACTTAAAAGAGTTTAAGATAATTAATATAAGGTTAGAGTTATTAGGCTATATAAATCACTTAAAATTAATAAATAAGTTAGGAAAACAGAACTCTTAAGAATAAAATAGCTTTCCTTAAGGTAAAAAAGTTAGTAAAAAACTAATGTAAATTAGGTTATATTA